TCGGGTGTTACCTAGGGGCATTCAACTGAAAAATACAATTACTCACTCCATGATAATTTAAAACTTACACATTTAATCCCCCGTGCTTAATTAGTTTCCTGATTAGTCAGTAAATGGTGTCAATACGTACTCATAATATTGGGCACCTTTGTATTGCATTTAGAGATGCTTTGAATAAGTTAGATGATTGTGGTTGACATCATTGCGTGATACGCATACCAACAACAAGATACTGTAACTCATGGCCCTGGTTGTGTGATGTAAAAGTAAACTTTATATCAAGGACCAGAGTTACTTTCTATACCTAATAGAAAATAACGTTATTACAATGGAATTTTGAAGGAAATGTTGTGTTAAATGTTCATAGACTTTTGTAATTGTTTATATGACAAATGAATATTGTTAAAATATAATTAGCAAACTATCATGTTTTAAGCCCTTGATACTGAGGACTTTTCCTTGAAAACTAACAGAAAGTATGTTTTCAAAGTGTCTGTTATATACTAATATTGTCACAGTATGGCAATGCAAAACACGAGTCAACGAGTACGCAGTACGCACTCGATGGCTGCGCTACCCATTCTATTCCGTAATGTTTTCCGATGATTTTCTGAAATCGAACAGCTGGTTTCGCAGCTATTATCAGAAATTATTTTTTTCTTTTCTTTATTTATTCTTATAAGACAAAATATTAAATCTTTAATTTTAGCTTAAGGTGTGCCCTCTGAGATCTTTCCATTACATAGCGGTGGGGTTAACACAAGTATTTAGGCGTGCTTCGCCAATTACTAAACTTGTAACAATGATGGCAATATACATGTTTTCAGAAAGCTCAGATATTGTTGGAGAATATGGTCGTTAAATACTCGTTTGCTTAGCTGATTGCGTTAAGGAAATTCTGGCGAACCTCGCAATTTACCGAACAATGGGAGATAGTTACATGTTCTCACGCGCTGTATCAACTGATTGTTGTCACAAATACGAAAATGTGACCGCCCCATTCTTCGTGACGTTAGAATAAATTCACTAGCAAACTCGAGACAAAAGTTTCAGACTAGTATGGAGAGAAGGTCCACTGAATAATAGTACGGTAATCAGCAGTGGTGGCGGCACGGGGGCGCGCTCCTTCTCGAAAAAAATGTTGAAGGGTCATCGCCCAATTGGAAACCCTTTGTTTCAGAAAAAAATTGCCCCCTTCAAAATGCAGGAAATATCGTTTCAGAGGGTCTATATTTCAAAATTGTTATGGGGGAGCATGCCTCGGGACCCCCGAGTTAGGTCCCCATGCAACATTTCGTGCCGCCGCCTTTGATCAGACTCTGATCGCTATGAATAGGTGTCATAATGTTGTATTGTTAGCATGAAGTTAAAAACTAGTTTTTTTGAAAAATACGCAATAATTTGTTTCTTCGTATTTGGCACCAAATATACAGCTAAGACAGCGAAAATCAGTGCAGTTCGACAATTGGATAGTGTAATATACACATAACACTCACTGACCATGAAGGTATAAAAATTCTTCCATGCACTGACTAATAGAAATTCAGAGACAGCATAGCTGATGATTGACGTCCGGGTTACTCTAAATGCAGAAGTCACTCTAGTCGTCGCCCGTCGTATCCTTATTGATACAACATTACACTGGCGTACCTATGATAAAACTGCGGTTGTTTCAATAAATCACCAAACAAAACAAAATGTTGTACTCATGTTAAGCTGTCGATTATAAATACACAAGTATCTGATCTACGAGAACTATTATATCCACACTAAATTTGCATTTTGTGACTACCTGAATATTATTTATACACAACATTGAATTACAATGTTATTAGCTTATTTGCATTTTACCCTTGACCCCTATGAAAGTTCCGCCTTATTTTGAACACGAACCCACTGAGGTAGTTACAACAATTTAATTGCATGGAAACATGATTAAATATAATTAAATTGGTTTTATCTGATATAAATTATATGAAATATCATAATGCAGAACACAGATAAAATCAATGATCGCAGATTTGTCGATATCCTAATAAAAATTAAAGTACTGCTAAAGTACTATAGTACTGCTTTATAGTATTAAGTAAACCTTTATCTCGCTATTGTTGAGTGAAACTTACCGTCAAATAAAAAACATGGAAAATGTGCAAAAATACATGCATTTAGGAAATAGTTCCAGTACCCCAATTTGTTTTTCGCGTTTAAAACGGTCATAATTTAGCAGTGTTTCAAAAAATGTCTGCACCATAAGCGTTTAGCCGGCCATCTAAAATAGTCGGGTGTCATTGAAACACGTTATCAGATTTCCCAAATTTGTACAATATGCTTTTATCTTATTTCATTTGTTCTTGCATACGGTGAACACTCATACGTAGTTGTAAGATGGATACTTACGAGTTGTCACGAATTATTAGGAAATTAGGATGAATATTAATTTTTTTTGAAGTAATATTTTAGGTAGACGCCTACTCATGAATTAAAAACCCAGAATTTATTCATTTTGTAATAAATTGTACCCCAAGGCAATATAAGGATATTGACCTAAAAAAGTTTGGGAGTCACCAGCCTTTTTTTCGAGAAATTGATGGTGTATTTTAGAGGAAAGTCGCCATTTTGACACTATTATAACACTTTTACCACAGGTTCCTATGGCAGAAATATTATGCAATATCTCAAAATCTAGCCTGGTGACATAGGCTGAAAAAATCATATATTGTTAATGATGGAGTACTTTTTGTTGTTTTGAATTATTTAAAAAATCTGGGTTTTAAAAAGTGTCAAAAAATGCAATTTTTCTTTAACATTGTGTTTTATGGAATTGTTCTAAAAATAGCAATTTTCAAAAAAATATTAGGACACATTTCCCAAAAAGCATAACTGTAACACACAAAATAATGCTATTTCATTGTACCATGAGACATTAGCTTCATAATTGTACATACTAAATTAATGACCAATTTTGTCAATAATTATGACATTTTCGAAATTCATTTTCGTTTTTAAAATCCGTTTTCATGTTTAAAATCCATTTTCGTTCTTAAAATCCGTTTTCATGTTTAAAATCCGTTTTCATTTTTAAAATCTATTTTCGTTTTTGCTGACCTTTGAACTATAGGTATATATGTATTTTTAAATTTAAAACAAATTTTCCATCAGAATTTACATAAAAATCACTGTTGTTTCCCGCCTATCGCATGAACCTTAACATAATAATTGTTTTTAATGAGATTCTCATTTTGATTCGATATTCGATTTGTTTTTCCAACCTCATTTCATCTTTCAATTTCAAAATTCATTTTCACTTTTTGACCTGTGACCTCGCTCTCTGACTTCATACCACGTGACTAGGAATTGTAACTCGAATTCT